AACTGGTCCTGGGTTAAGTAGTAAAGGTCTGGCTCAAGGTTCACCATTGAGCCCCCTTCTATTTAATATATATATATATGATTTCATTGTTCGATATTATTCCGGATAATGTTAAAATGATTCAATATGCTGATGACTTGGTGCTTATGATAGAAGGGGATATAATAGCAAAATCTATCAATGTAATAAATCTTACTCTGGATAATGTCGCTGAATGGTTAGACAGTCACAAACTCAAAATCTCTCCACTAAAATCTTCTGCGGTAATTTTTAATAATTCAAATAGGAAATTGGTAAGCCCTAATATTAGAATTAAAAATAATATAATTGTAATTAAAGAAAATGTTAAGTATTTAGGTGTCTCAATAAATAATAGATTAAATTGGAATGTTTATGTACAAGAGCTAGAAAATAAAACTCAAAAAGGATTAAATATAATGAGAGCGATAAGAGGTATCCATTGGGGAGCAGATCCATCCACTATGCTTTCTGTATACAAAGGTTTAATTAGATCTCACCTAGATTATGCATATTATGTTCTGAGACCATGTAGTAAAAAAATATTAAATATATTAGATAGGGTACAATACAAAAGCTTGAGGTTAGTAACAGGAGTAATGAAATCAACACCAATCAACTGCCTACTTGCTGAATCTGGTGAAATATCCCTTGAATATAGGAGACAATTGTTAGCCATTAAGTTCTATTTGAAAATAAGATCGGACAATAACAACCCCCTGAATGCAATTTTAGATTCTTTGACAGATATGTATCGAGCTAGGATTGGTTTTTGGAGAGTGAGGGAACCCCCTTACCTAATTGAAGCTAAAATTGTAGCAGATCATGTTATTACTAACCTGTATAGAACAGATGTAAATCCGTGTTTCCAAATTGAAGTGTCTGATCAAGTCGATAGAATAAGAACAGTCTTTTCAGCTGCAAGTAAAAATGGTATTTATAGTAATCAATGTTTTTTAAATGAATTTGCGGATAAATTTATGTCATATACTTGGGTATTCACTGATGGTTCATTAAATCCTATAGATCAGAGTGTAGGCTGTGCAGTTCATATTCCTGATATTAAATATAACTTTTCTACTAGGCTACTTGACCATACACAAATATGTTCTGCTGAAATTTTAGCTATCAATAAAGCCATTGTGGTATGCATAGAGAAAGAATTAACAAAATGTATAATCTTTTCAGACTCTCAGAGCGCAATTAGAATGATTGAACACAAAAAATATGGGAATAATAACCTTAATGCCTTAAAAACCAAAAGACTATTATTGGACGCTAGTAGGGCTGAGTTTGAGTTCATTCTAGCATGGATCCCAGGTCATATGGGGGTAATGGGTAACAAACAGGCAGATGATCTGGCTAATATAGGTAGAGTTTTGAATGTTCCAGCTGATATTAAAATAGACAGGCATGATTATTTTCCTTATTTTAAAAAACGAATATTTAATGCGCACAACATTATCTGGAGTAGATCCTTTTTGGAAAAAGGGAAATGTTATCCAAATCTTTCCTCATAAAGCTTGGTTTTTGAAATTTCCATACATTGATCGCAGACATATCACAACTATTATTAGGTTGAAGACTGGGCACACCCTTTGCCGAGCTCATCTTTTTAAAATTGGGTGTAGCGATGACCCATTCTGTGAATGTGGTCAAATTGAAAGTCTACATCATATATTTTTTGAGTGTCCCTTGAACATTACTTTTAATTTTGATTTATATAGGGAATTGATTAAAATAGGCTGCACTTCTCCTATCTCACTTCCTTGTATTTTAAATCACCTAAATTTAAATGTTATTAAAGTTATTATGAAATTTATTAACACATTTAAAATAAAAATTTAATATATAATAAAAAAAAAAAAAATAAATAAATATATATATATTCTTGTTAATTCCAGAACAATTCCTGAACTATTTAACCTGGGTGCTTTTTCTATCTATCCGAGGCAACATTTCTGGGTTTGTGTAGATGCTCGGCAGTTGCCCCCGAGCGAGAAAAGTTTATACCTTTGTTGTGTTGTCTTTTAACATGTTTAGCCTATGTATCAAGTATTAATACAATCAATGGAAAAGAGTGAATATGGATTTTTCTTCAATGGGAAGATGGAAAATTCCAGACGTTCTTTAATGAATATTCCCGAAAAATAATAAGCTAAATTACCTGCGCTGGCTAAATACCCAAAGGGCAAAAAACAAAAAGAAGAAGAAGAACTGTTGCATAACTTTATATTACCTATGTTACAATCAATATCCTGCAACCAATTCAGTGCAGTGACAGTGAGTGGAATGAGAGAATTTAAAGAGGAATTTAATGATGCAAACCACTTCTTCCTAGTTGAAACGATAGTCAAGTTATAGAGAGTGTGAGAGTGAAAATCGCATTTTCTAGCCTTATGAACAACTCAGTGGTGACTTTTAAAAAACCAATTTGTAGACAATTTAAAGAGGAATTTAATGATGCAAACCACTTCTTCCTAGGTGAAACGATAGTCAAGTTATAGAGGTGTAAGTGAGAGAGTGAGAGTGAAAATCCCATTTTCTACCCTTACGAACTCAACTGTGACTTTTAAAAAACCAGTTTGTAGAGAATTTTTAAGAGGAATTTAATGATGCAAACCACTTCTTCCTAGTTGAAACGATAGTCAAGTTATTTAACAAAAACCTTTTTCTCATTAGTAAACTATGTCTATACAAGCTTAAATTCCTTACCTAAATGTAGGTCTCATTATCATCTTCCTCATCCTCATTCTCCTGCTCTTACTCCTCCTTCTTTCTCATCCTCCTCCTGCATCTAACAGAAATCTGAACTCGCATATTTTACTAGTCCCAGTTTACCACATCTTCCCAATCTGTGTCAGCATCATCATAATCGTTTTGAGAAACCTGTAATTATTTAAAATTAATAGATTTTTTTTAAGTAATAGGTATTATTAATATTACAACTCATGTTTACTATCTAAAATATCTAACCGATTTAACTTGTCATTTATAATATCATACTGATAATAATTAAGCCACCAACATAACTACTAGTAGTATGTTGGACTGGTTTCAACAATGAATAGTTGTCCTCTTCGACATTAAAGAACGCCAGCTAACTATTTTTTTACATTCCCAAAATGGTATATGGTCAATGACTCTTTCACTATAATATGATATAAGTGTTCCATTATTCATTCTCATCTTGCAAATTTTAGATTTTATATTTGCTTTGATTTGACAATGTAGGTATAAGGATTTCTATAGCTACATATTAGTTTTTGAAAGGTATTTTTAAGGTTTTTAGAAAAAAAAATATTATTTGGGCTTACTGTTCAATTATTAACAACTTTTAGTACTTTTAAAATAACTAAAACTATATAGTCAGTACACATAAATTTAGTTTAAAAGTGAAATTAAATAAAAAATTAAAATTTGTAATGAAACATGATATTTTAGTAGTGTTCAATTATAATTTACGTAATGAAAATAAAATAAACATACATGTTAAGTTATGGACTGGGAATAAATTTTAGCAAATATTTATCAAATTATATGGCACCTACTTGTTTTAATAAATGCAGTAGGCAGAGCATTAAATTCATGTTTGTGGAATATAGAAATTATCAAATCATGCTTCTGAATTGTGCCCATGGAGGTATAATAACTATAATTATTCAACTTCATTTACTGTGCCCCCTCTTATCTTCTAAATGGAAAAAGATAGAGACATAAAACAAACACAAGGTGACAGAAATTAGAGATATTTACTTTATTATAACGAGATGTAATTTACTTGATCTTTAAATTTTCTAATAGAAAGTAGGGACATGTGATATCTCATTTGAAATGTTTTTTCATTATCTTTACGTCTATACAGTTTTAGTTTTTACATTAAATAAATTAATAAAGCACCTAAATTACATTCTTGGTAACCCTCGTATTTACTATTATTGTTTTTGTTGCAAAAGATACGCTTTGTATAAGTTTTACAAAAGGTTATGGGAGTCCATTTCGAATATTTAATACGTTCATTGCTTCTTAGATCACCTTTGGTATTCCTAATTTATTCATTTCAGTGTTTAATTTGTAAAACGCGTAATTAACAATAATAGTAAATCAGAGGGTCATCACAAATCGATGGCTCAATCAAAAACCGCCACAAGTAAAAAACAAAGAAAATTACATTTTTGGTCCAATGGATGCAAAATATTATTGAGTTTTTATTTTAAAAACCGCCACAAATTAAAATATCTTTAGAGATGCCCAAAAATCATTTAAAATCTAGCCTCAAACTGTATCTGAAACTGCCTTAATTCGGGTTATTTTCTGCAAAAACACCCAAATTTTTAACAACCTACGCAATAACTCGAGTTAGGGTGCTTTTTATAATCGTAATAGTTAATTTTAACATCAAAATGTCGTAGCTTTTAAATAAATTATAAAGATTTTACGTCAAAAATAAAGTAATGATATAGCCTTACAAAATTTCAAATGAAATTTCTCAAAACAATAGTATTTTTATTTGTGGCAGTATTTGATTGAGCCATCGAAATGTAGATTAGATTTAGAAGGAGTTGGACATTATTTGTCAGTTTCATAGACTTTCTGTCTGGTTTGTTTACCTTTTCAAATGGTTCTTCTTCTGCTAAACTTTGGTTCCTGTTCCACCTCCCCCTAACCAGTGAGTTACTCATCCATAAATCATCTGCATGTCCAAATAAAATATTTCATGTACCTACCTATAGAAACAAAAAATGAGATGGAAATATGTACCAATTAATCAACCAGCTTCCCAACTAGTCCCTCAATAAACTGTTTAAACGTTTCGAATACGTCTCCGTCACAACCTTGTAGTGGGTAAAAAGGCTTGTTGAATAAGCATTTCGCTATTTCATACAATCTAATGTAAATATCGGAAATCGTGAATACCAAGCCTCACTATCTTCTTCCAAATCGAAGCTAAAAAAAATACCATTGGCGAAATGAAAAATATTTTCAAAAGCAACATTTTATTTTTCAACAATATCACATTGGTATTCTTTTCAACTTAAAACCATAATGGACCTTTTCAACTTTTCTCTTTGCTTTCTTCTTTTATTTGATTTGTTCTTTTCTATGGTAGCATCTCGAAACAGTTGTACTCCTTCAGATGTCTCAACCTCTCTCTGAATAAACTGCATACCATAATAGTTGTAACCGACCAGGTCCTAAATAATTATAAAAGATTATTAAAAATTTAATATTACTTCATTAAAGAATGTTTTAAAGTGCAATGCATGATCATTATGTTACCAGGAGAAATACACTGCAAGTCTATTTTTATTAGGAAAGGGGCACACAGTGATCAAGACATTCAGAGTTTTTGACATAAAAATTGAGTGTAATTGTTAATTTTAATTTTACTTGTACAGAAAATATTGTATATGAGGGGAAGTAAGATTTAAATAGATCTAAATATCTATCTAACCTAACCCTAGGTGTATTTCCCTATGAAAAAAAATATACCTAATTTGAATTGCAGTCCACTGTCCGACCAGATTTTACGCCTAGTCGGTGTTTAATCTATTATACCGGGTGTTTAAATTAGATTAGATATAAATATCTATCTAACCTAACCGTAGGTGCATTTCCCTATGAAAAAAATACAGCAATATATTCAAATTATGTATTTTTACTTTCCTATCTGTATACAGATATAAGGAAAGTATAGGAATAACCAATAAGAATTCAACTTTTGTTTGCAGAATAATGATTCTACACTTTTTATAAGCATTTTCTGAAATTTTGAAGTTTGGAAATAGTGAACAAACAAAGGCGCCTGTTAAAATTTGAAACTCTTGTTTGTAGAATAAAGTTCCTCTCCTTTCCCGCAGGAATTTCGGGAGAATTCCTCGGAGATGACGTTCATCAGCTTTCCTGAGCTCCAGGTCGACTGTGGGTCCATTTGAACATCCTAATCGTGATCAGCGACCTCGAAAACTTTCGAGAACCCGATTTGGGCCAGTTCTGACTCTTATTTACAAAGTTATTTAATCTTCCAAAAGCCGTTTCAAAAAATGATATGTTTTAGGGTCGATTTTACTCCACTATGAAGCTTGATTGTGATATTCTACAATTATTAAAAATTTATACTAAATTAAGACAAACACTACAAGATAAAATTTTGCCTGGCCACAGTTCTTGCTTTTTAGGAAGTTAGTTAGAAATATAATTCTTGGGCGTTTACATAATTTTTTGATAAATATATAAAACAAAAATTGTTATTACCCTTAGTTCTTTTACTTTTTCGTTGCCGAACTTCATAAGTTTCTCGAGAGTGCCGAGTAGAGAATGATTTGCAACTATTGGAGCATAATGCAATTTCAATAAAAACATGGAAATTTTACAAATAAGCTCAGTTTGATCTCCTCTAGCCATTAAGTTTGGCAACACCTGTAATATTTCGCATACAGATGCAAATGGTAGAATAAGAAGAGCTTCTTCCAAATCACTAAAAAAACAAACAAAGAGATAAATAATAGTAAAAAAGTTGATTTTTTTTAGTTATTTAGATACATATGTTAAATATTAGAAAAGATGGTCTCATTTACAGTTTTTTTTTCTTCCTTTTTTCAATAAATTTAATTTTATCCAAAAAAGTTATTTAGCTTAAGATTACCTACAAAAAATGTCCCTGAAATTTTCTATATTTTAAAAAAACTACGCGAAAACTAAGCTTTTAATTGTGAAAGATATACTTACTTATACATTGACAAAATCTATAAAAAAAACTTTGTAATCAACATTATATCAAACTTTTTCATCAACTGTATATCAAACTTTGTAATTAACTGTATATCATATTTTATATTGAACTTTATAATGAATTATTGCAATTATAAGAGTAATTTGTATTGTAATTCAGAAGAACTCACCTCGGCCTAATCCTTTTCATAGTCTCTAAGAGAAAATCATCTGGAGTCGAGACTTGTAAAGCTAACATCAATGGTGGAGGAACAGGGACTGGCAAAGTTTGACTGGAAGCTGCTTGAATGGCCGAATGCTCAGCTAATTGTTCTATATATTTCTCGCATAATTCCAAACATTCAAGAATACTTTCCGCCTTGAAATCAAAACATTAATTATTAATCAAATGGCATTAAGTTTTCTATTAGTTCAATTTTAAAAATGTGTTAAACTTCCGTATTATTTCTCAAAAATTTGAACATTTGCAAGACAAATATTGTAGGCTGGTTTCAAGGACGGGACTTCTTAAATCCAAAACAATTAAATTCCCGTCATTGTAACTAATAATCTAGCATTATTGTAGTCTTATTTTGCCGACTTAATTTCTAAATATCCAAAGTTCCCCGAGTCATTAGACCTTTCACTACTCCGGCAATCTGTGACATTTTTAATTCACTAAGAATCGTCACTGCACCGATTGAAAAATAATTCTTCAACAAATGAATTTTCGTTAAAAATCATTTTTCCAAAAAACCGACCACATTCACTGGGCTAACACCGCTTTTTTAAATTTCTGTCGTTCATTTTGTAGAAAAAATATATATTTTATTCATTATTGTGTCCTTTAGAATTAAAATTCTCGATTTAATTTGTATATAATGCAATGGCTGTTAATTCTATTTAGTATTTTTTAATGTATTTGTTGACCAATTGATGAAGAATTATAATTAGAATGTCTACAACTGTAATATTTTTAAATAATTAGCTCGAACCATAAGAAATTTAATTTAGCAAAAAATACAAATATTTATATGGCATAATACATACAGCTCTTTCACTTCCTACGGTCTTTTTTGAAGGCAAATTCAATCCTGGTTGTCCAGGAATGATTGTTTGCTCGCCAGTGGCCAATTCTTCTTGTTGAGCTCTCTCTTCTTCTTGTTCATCTTCCAGAACTAGAATTTGATCTGATCTCTCATACATCCTTAAAACTCTGTCTGCACCACAAGATACGACATGTTGTCCATTTGGACTAACCGCCAATGCCCTAGCTTCTCCAACATGCCCCTAAAATTGATAAACAATAAGTTAGAGGTTAACTTAATTTTAAATAAAGAAATCACCTGCAAAGTCATAATTTTGTCATAAGTATCGCCGTCCCATTCTTTTACTTTACCATCTTTACCGCAAGTGAAAAAGTAATGCGTTTTCGGTACAAACTGAAGACCAGTCACGGAATCATCGTGGGCGAAAATACTTTTATGACAATCTCCGAAATCCATTCCCCAAATTTTGACGTTCCTATCGGCGGAACCGGTCGCTATCAAAGCGCAATCCGAGGAAATATCCAAACATAGAACTGGGAGTTTGTGACCATAGAGAGATAGATAAAACTAAAAATAAATGATTATAAGAGTTAGAAATATTAGAAAAAATTAAGGGATCAAAAAAAATCTCGATTTTTTCGATTTTTCGAGTGGCTATTATTTATACAAATTTCTCGCTATTTTCGACGAAGCAATAACTCTTAAAGGAAATAACATTCCTATTCTCAAATGTGACCAATTTAAAAATAAATAATTAAGGAAAAAGAGAAAATCTCAAAGACCGTGTCATACAAAACAATGAGGACCATTTTCCTTTTGAAAATGTACTCCTTTGACTAATAATTATTATCTCTGCTATTCACTTTTTATTATAATACAACGCCTGTTGCGGTATTAGCCAAGGAAGTAGTTGTTTTCAAGAGGAAAATGATCGCTCGTTCTTTTTTTGTAACATGCTCTTTGAGATTTTCTCCAAAGACTTATTCTTAGTTGGAAACGTTAAATCATTTTACAGCCAATTATGTTAGAAAATTTACCTTTAAAGTATCAACAAAAAATATTTTGACTGTGGAATCCAATAATCCTACTGCTATAAACTTTCCATTGGGTGACATTTTTAAACAAAGAACAGTATCTTCCAATTTTAATGTCCTAGTGTGTATCAAAGACAATACTTTAGCCTTAGATTCACTTTGTTCATCGACTATCAGTTCAAATTGCCAGAATTTTACAGTGTTGTCACCTCCTCCAGTGACGCAGCCTCTCTAAAAAAAAAAATAGAAAAATAAAACTTTAAATCTACACAACTTTTTTTACTCATACTAATGTTAATAGTATATATATATAAGTATGAGATGTGCCTATCGAATAGCGGAAGTATAATTTTTTTTTTTATAAAAATTGGTAGCAACATACCAAGTCTGGAGTTAAAGTGACTGCCCACAATTCATTTGTGTGAGCCGGAATCTCTTCTAAAATTTCCCCAATCGATATGTCGATAATCAATAATTTTCCATTTTTTAAACCAGCCAACAAATGTCGGTCTCCAGGTGCAAAAACAGTTGATAAAATATAACTGAAAAAAAAAAATATTCTTCAAATTACCAAAATCATAGCAAGGGGATGCCTGAAAGGGTGAAAAAAAAACAACTAAAGTAAATGAAATAGTTTCTTTGATATTGCCAAACAGGGTAAAAATTTTGAATTGGAGACATTCATAAAAGACCAATCAACAATTTGCAATGACTGATTAATTAAATAAACTTACTCAGTATTAATTGTTCTCAAACAAGCTTGCGAAGGTCTATTCCACAATTTAATTGACTCAGCACTTCCAGATACAATAGCCAAATTGTCGCTGCTAAAACAAACGGATCGCATTTCGGTTCGATGTCCGTGATTTAAAATTGATCTCAAGTGTTTAGACTCGGAATCTTTTATCGAAGAATTAATGGTAAACAGTTCTACGGCGTTGTTACTAAGAGTCACTGTAACACGCAATTCGCCACCATTGCCCAATACTAAGTCGAAACTTTTTGGCTTGTCAGAAAGTTTTATAGAGGTAAGTCTTTTGACTTCGTCACGTAAACTTAGTTGCGTATTTAAATCTGCATGAGTTTCTTGATCTTCTTCCATACTTTCATCAGATCTGAAAAAAATATGTATCTTACATTTTTAAGTTGGCAGCGCTCACACTGATATTTAACATTTCCCTTGTCATTATATGATGAGATGGTCAATGGTCAAACATAATGTTTCTCAATATTTTTATGAAGTTATAAGTATAAGAACTAACTTTAATTTCATTTAATAAAATATATAATACAATACAAAATATATAATACAATATAAAATATATAATCAGTGTTCCCAGAATATATTTTTGTTAAAAAAAAAAAAACAGATTTGTCCAAAAAATGTACCAGATTACATACAAATGTACTAGATTCCGTAAAATGTACCAGATTTTCGAATGAATTGTGATGTGGTTTGGTTCATTAAAAAAAAAAAAAAATGGTTTTTAGCAAATGAAAAAAAAAACAAGGAACACCATCCCAACAATATATTTTACACGCGTCAAATGGTAATACACAGGCTGAAAAAGAAGAAGGTACTAGATTTTGCTACGAGTGGACCAAATTCTTAGAAAATGTACTAGATCTGGTACAATTGTACTAGGCTGGCAACACTGTATATAATACAAAATAGGGATGCGCACGATGTATCGATGTTTAAAAACATCGATTTTTAGGTTTCCATTATCGATGATTTTCTTTTCAATGTTTTTCGGTTTTTTGCTCTTCAATGAACGCTTTTGGAAAACATCGATGTTTACAGATACATTGATGTATGGAAAAACAAACATCGATATTTAGAAAAATCGATATTTTCTTTCCCGATTTTGTTATAACATCGACAGTCTGTAATGTATCCGATGTATCAATTGATGTCAACATGGATGTTTTAAAAAATTTGCCCATCCCTAATACAAAATATATAATAAAATGTACATATATAAAATATTACAAAATTAATTATGATACATTAAAACTTGGGTACTTCTTAAAAATGTGCTGGATTCGTCCTTTACTATTCTCCTCGGGTTACGTATGCGTCAGCTGAACAGAAGAGAATTTTGGTGCTGCCATCTGCGAGTGTCGGCTTTAACTTGCCGTGGTTTTCCTGAGTGTAATCCTGGTTGCCGATACTTCAGGGACGCGCGGTTATAAAGTTCTGTTTGATTTAATAAAATATTTATTCCAAATTATAGAAACAATTATAACACTACTATATAATCAATAATTATTTTTATAATTAATATTAATATTTTTGAGATTTAATACTAACTTTGTTTTCTTCTTTTCCTTTTTAAGGCGTTTCTTGAGCCTTACTTTTGCATCTTCATCAAAAAGAAACTGGAACAATTCAATTTGCATGTCTGTTCCATGACATCCAAGAATTTGTCCACTTGCATCGCTAAACATTGAAATAACTCTTCCTCTTCCACCTCTAAGAAGTGAACCAGCCTTATTGCATTGCAAAGGATGCTACAATCAATTAAGCAACTCAAGAAAATTTGATATTAAATATGGTTCAAATTTAATTAAAACTATGGCTTGCCTTGAATAAAATTTATCACTGATCATTACATTTGTTTCCAAAAATAAATATAGCATAATTGACTGCAAAATTAAAATTTTTAAAAAATTGTTGAAATAAAAGTTGTTTATGATGTCATTCTCTATAATTCTTGTCATATACATGATTTCTCTAAAATGTATCGTATTAGAGATATTTAAGAAAAGAATGCAAATTTCAAATATTAAAGAGAACTTAAAAATACATGAAGAAAAAACAAATTTTAAATTTAAGCTTTAAAACATGCTGTGCTGAACTATGTATATTCCATAAAATATAAAAATGACCTTCCTTCAGTAGGTGCTACAATAGATTGTACAAAATAACCAGAAAAAGCCTGTAATAACTAAATAGGAAAGTCATGTGTTACACACATCAGATTTTTAAATTGTTAAAGTTTTTCTCTACATAAATAAAAAATATATGAATTCAACAGAAACAAATAGTGCTATAGAAAATAACAACTTTAGACTAATGTAAATTCACAAGCCAACCAATAATATATATTATTTATCCAATATTATTCTGCAAAGATATAAATTATAATTTTAAACTTACAGTGGTATCATCGGCATCATCTAGATAAGTTAATTCTAATCTAGATGTTAAATTTTCCAAAGGGTTTTTATTCTCACTGTCAGGATCACGAAAAACTATTTTATACACCCTTAATTCTGCATCTCCACATCCTGTTACTAAATACTGATCATCTTTCATCAATGCTATTGACCAAATCTGAAATTTAGTACAACAATTGGTCAAAGTCAACAATATTAAATTATTTACTTATTACATATGTATTTATTTATGGGAAAGTAAATTAAAGTTGAAATAACCTAGAATATATTATGGACCAACAAAACATTATATATTTGGTCATATTTTCAAGTAAACATTTTTCCTCCCATGAAAATAACCCACTAAAGAATCAGTAACTTTTAAGAACAGTATAACATTAATATTCTTACTTCAGTTTGATGTCCTGTCAAAGTTTTAAAACAATGCTGGGTATCTAAATCCCAAAACTTGACAAAACTGTCCTTTGAACCAGATATTAGAATAGAATGATTAGTCATAAACTGCAATTGTGTAATAGGACCTTTGTGTCCAGTTAATCGGCATAATCCAACCTCTGCAACTGTGTCCCAAACTATGATATCAGTGTCCTAAAAAATATTAAGAAAATAATATTCCCAAAAATATATGATAAGAATAAAACACAATATTTAGGTGTTTAATCTTTAAATGTTTATTATTAATGAGGCTGCAGCTAGTAAATAAATCAACATACAAACTACATGGTGATTCCTTGCATAAAGGTGGCATCATGTAAATGTAATTTTTGCACCAAAAATTCATTAGGTTATTTTTAAACAATTAATCAAAAAAGCAATAAAAATTCAAATATAATTTTTATACCAATGATTTAGTATATTAGTAGTAATAATAATAATCTTTATTTGCCCTAGAAAATACAAACATTTTTTGGCTTGTCAATATCATATCAAAAAATAATAAAATAATACAAAAGTAAAGTTATTGAACAATTCAAAAAAAAGTCGAAATCATTCAAATATCAAAGGTTAACTCTTCATCCTCCAGATACAGGTCTGACAATTTATTTAAAAAATTGCAGTCAGTTACATGACATCATATGAGCGAAAATGAAAAACAAAAAACTAATGGAGATATCAAAGCATGTTTAAGATATCACACCTGATTTTCTAGTGTGCCTTTTTACAATATACCTAAAACAGCAAATCCCACATGTGTCCTACAACGTGTTAAGTAAGTAAAACTTTTTAAAAAACCTTAGAAAAACTAAAATATAACCTCACCTTTGAACCTGAAGCCAGTTTGTGTCCAAAACTATCATAAATTAATGTAGTAACTTCTGTCCGATGTCCCGAAAAGATGCTAATAACTTCAGCAGATTTCAAATCATAAATCTGAACTATTCCATCGGAGTAACCAGCAGCAAGGTGACGTTTATTGGGACTAGCACAAATCGCTGTAACAACAGTCTTTTCACCAGGTAAAACTTGAGCCTAAAATTTAGTATTACGGTTACTGGTTGGAATTGTAATAAATAATTGTATTTATACCTTCTCTCCTAATCTTAAATCCCAAATAATTATATGTTCACAAGCTCCTACAGCAACAAATCTTCCTTCTTGACCCTCTAATGTTACAAAGCACACATTGCAGGGCTGACTTGCAATTATATTAAAATTCCCAGCTGGGACATATCTCAAATATTGTTTAGTTAAGCCCATTTTTCGTTAGTTTTAGCTTTTGCTAACAAAAACATTTATATTTCGTGCTCTTTAAACAGTTAACACGAGTGTTGTTTATACATAACCTAAAAGTTTTTATTGTTCTTCGTTTTTTTTGGTCTCGTCATTAAGAACCATCAATTCCACAAAGCACAGGGGTGCGTTCAGAAATGGAGAGCGTCAAATTTTCAATCGTCCGGACAAAATTCGTCGGAACGTTTATTTTTGCCCGATAAATACGAACGGTAAGTGCAAAGTATTGTCAAATCAAGTTTTTGGTTATGTCTTTTCTGTTATCTGAGATTATAGGAATTATCAAAAATTAGTAAGGACCGATTCCACCGTTGTGTTAAACGAAGTTTAAAATTATATTTTTACATTAACAATGTCACTTTAATATCCGTTTAACACAACGGTGGAATCAACCAACATTATTGACGCCCACATAGACTTTTTTATTATGTTAACATTCAATTAAATTAGGCATTCCAACGACCTGTCAAACTGCTGACAAGTGGGAACTGACTTTTAGATATGGCAACCCTGTGAGCCTGTTGTCATTGACAGGATCAATGATACATATACCGTTATATAGATTGCTTAAAGCGAGTCGTTTACTAGCGGCCATATTGCCTCGCAAGTGCTCAATAATCAGAATCGATTTTGCAAAAATGTGTTTACAAACCAATATTTAGCCATTCAATATAGTAAAAAAATAATTACCTACATTTTTACTTCAAGGCATAAGCTTATGTTTATTTTCAAAAATATAGATGATGAATCTATGTAACTATCTATTTCATTGATCTTGTCAAATAACCAGGCCTACAGGGTTGTCATAATTTTACCATATCATAACCTGTCAAAACCCACTGGTAGCCATTTTGTTTGGAATGCCCAATACCTTTAATTCTGTGTCATAAAATTTTATCATTTTCTATAATAAAATTACCATCGTTTCTGACAACTAGACGATAATTGATGGAATTAATTCACTCACTCATACTCATATTTAAATATTTTTTACTCAAAAAGTAAAAATAGAAAATTAAATACTAGGTGGTTCTCTTAAGTCAATTAGAGTTGACATACTGCGCAAGTCGAGTAAAAATTACCCTACTCAACACGGTGGGTAAAATTTCTTCATTCCGACGCGTTTTTCTTTTAAATAGGAACGGCTAAGGTAATTCGTCCAGATAAAACGTTCCATATTTAAGAACGCTTTTTAGAACTTAACGTCCGGACGCATTTACCCTACATTTCTGAACGCACCCCAGTGTCAAAATTGGATAAGTCGTCCTTGAACGAAAATCGAAGTTCGGTTATATCGCGTGACTTTATAGAGATGGGTATTAACAAATTCGCAAATGTAATAAACAGTTACAGATTTGCCAATATCCATCTCTAAATTTCAGTCTAACACCAGAACCGCTTAGAACTTTAGAGTCGTAACCGAACTTCGATTTTAGTTCAAGGATGACTTACCCAAGTCCGACTCACAACTTTCCCCGTCTAGCGTGCCCTGAAGGGAATGCCCTTCTAAACCGGTGAATTTATTTAAAAAACAATAATAATAATGATAGTAACAATAAAAGTCTCCTTCCGTATTTATAATAACTAATTAAATACAAAGAAATGAGCCCCGTTACTATAAACAATGCGTCTCCGAATGGCTGTAAAATAAAACAAACAAGGTCAAGGTCGTTCGCCAGAAAAAGTTTAAAGCTCAAAATGTAAACAAAGCCAGAGGTCCTTACCAACCAACAATTAGGCATTCCAAACTGAATGGCTACCAGTGGGTTTTGACAGGTTATGATATGGAAAAATTATGGCAACCCTGTAGGCCTGGTGATTTGACAAGGTCAATGAAATAGATAGTTACATAGATTGATCATCCATATTTTTCAAAATAAACATAAGCCTTGAAGTAAAAATGTAAGCAGTTATTATTTTTTAAATATCTAAAGGCTGATAATTGGTTTTAAAACACATTTTTGCTAAACCGTCAAATTAATAAATATTTGCCAGGCAATATAGCCGCTCGCAAACGACCAGCTATGAGCAATCTATATAACTATATATGTATCATTGACCCTGTTAATGACAACAGGGTTGCCATATCTAAATTGTCAGTCCCCACTAGACATGGGGTAACGCACTAAAATTTTTTGCGTTGATACACTAACTCCGGCGCACTCTATTGCGCCAACTCATTGCGTTAACGCAATTGCGTTATTGCGTCACACCACTGCCTGCGCCGAATGAAGTCGATGCACCTCGGTGTATCGCATGATACCGGTGTTATTCAGCGCGGGCTGTCCTTTTATAAGGGTCAAACCGTGTTCAAGGCAATAACGCAATTGGGAATTTAACTAAATTTTTTTTATTATATGTTTAAAAATAAACGAAAATATAACAGTGTAATGCACTCATTTTTTTATTTCATTGTGTTCGGATTTTACAAAAAATACAAAAATTCCAATTTATATAAAAAGGATATAAATTTTGTATAATAGTAGCCAATCAAATTGGGAAGAACTAAAAATCGACAGTGTATAAGATTAAAATTCATAAAATTCGACCTACAATCCTACAAATGATGTGAAATGTTGCAAAAAACATAATTACTTGATAGATTTTGGGTAATCTGCATTACGAGTTGCATTAATTACGTAAATTAAAATTCTCAACTCGTCACGGAAAACGGAATCAGTGCCTGGCACATGGCGCACCAACAACTCGCGATCCTTTCGACTCAGTAATCTCAGTATCGAAAATTGCGTTGCGCTGATACAGTAACAACTGGTGTATCAACGCTCGTAACGCATACAACTGCGTTAACGCAATAACGCAACGCAGCGCTGCGTTACACATGTCTAGTCCCCACTGGTAGCCATTTGGACAGGTCGTTGGAATGCCTAATATTATTGACAATGACACTAACAAATAAGGCTGGGCCCCTTGACACCTGTCAGTCCGACCTGTGGAAAAAAGAAAAATCCGTTACAGGACTCACCCAGTGTAATAATCCCACGGAGGATCGCCAGGAAGCAGTGTAGAGAATGCGCGAATACCGGCTTATTTCTCAACCACTTTACTAGAATCCCCTCTTTCCTTAGTAAAAGCCCTTATGTCGATCGACTCAGGCAGTCGTGGTACTGTAATTAATCAAAACTTGAAGTAATTCTTTTTAATGACACAAAAATTGAATTTTCACTACATTCGCGAGAGCGTTATCCACGAAAAAAGTTAAAGATCTACTGCCTCTTTTTGCGGTAAACGCTTCATAGCCGAGTTCGGCTGTCTCCACAAGGTGGCATTTTGCTCTGGGGCGGGAGTAACCGGGGAAAAGCTATAGAACTCTCCCCGTGTACCGTGCCCTGAAGGGAATGTCCTTTTTTGAATTTTTGTGTAATTCTTGGCTCCGCCCATACGTAAAACAATTACGTAATTGACTGAAGCTCTTTGGAATCGTTCGAAATTTGCAACGGATGTACATTTTTAGGATAAATAATAATGAAATTCGATTAGAATAAAAAGTACTTTTTAGAAAGCTAGAAGGGATATACGTGGGTGTGAAGTATTAATAAAACATAGTTTGGACAAGCGAATTAATATGGATTTTTGTGATGTCTTGACATATTTCTGCGTACTATGTAGGTATAAATGAATTACGGAATTATGAATGTTCGAAGCTGTTCCCGTGAGAAAGAGTAATTGGTCTCCGAACTTTAAGATTACTTCCTGATTATTAAGTGATAATTTAATATAAAAAATTAAAATAACTTTACTGGCTTTCGAGTACGAATGCCAGATGTAAAACCATTAGTACTTGGGTCGACGTAAGACTCTACATGTGCGATTGCTAAAATTAGTGTTTGCGGATTCGGTAAATTGGGGTACATGTATGGTGCAATTCGGGTAAGAATTGGATCGACGCTACGGGACCCTTTAACGAACTTTTATAATTCAGGCCGCAATATGAAGTAGGGATAATCGGAAAGGTATCAACAAATGTTCACTAGTAAATGTAATTAAGTGTAATATTTTATTATTGTTTTTAATTTATTACATATGTGAAAATAATAAACAAATAAGTATTCTAACATTTGTTCATGAAAATTATATACACGATTTTTAGACGGAGATAAAAAGGACGCCAAATTATATAAAACTACACTGAACTGGCAGTGTAGAAATTTAATACACAATAAGAGAACTATTAATATATTATTGATATTAATACTTGAAGTCTGATAGGGTAAATTTTATGCAACAAATTGTGAAAATTAAATTAGTTAATAGAATTCAAAAGATGTTTTTAGAAAAACTTTTTTATATAGTCAATTGTTCTGAAATAATTTTTATATTAATGTTCAGGTAGTAAACGTACCTGGCTTGATAATTATTTGAAAATAAAAAAAAATTTTTGCATAATTATTGAAAACAACACATTAATTGTCGTATTAGGAAAGGTAATTAAAAAGTATATGAAGAAATAGAACTTTTTAAATATCTTCAACAAATTTTAATATTGGGATGTTTTCACTTCTCTTCAGTAACTTAATTTGTCAAAGATATATCCATATAAGTTAATAAAAGATATTGTGGTTAATTAAAATGAAATTAGACAAATCTATAAGGTAACATATATATTCTATTTACTTCTAGTTAAAAAATATTAACTTCTCTTTAGTTTTCATTATGAACCCATTAAATATATTTCGAAATTCACCGGGTGCTAATGAATAAATAGTTACAAAATCTATTATAGGGTATGCAGGGCATTATAAAAAAGACTAACTAATTGTTTTAATTATTGATCAAATACTACGATAATCACTAAATTCGATACAAACATTGCACAATGTACAAAGTTATCAATTTCACCCTGAATATCCATCAATTTCGATGATGAAGCTTCAACAAAAAAGAAATGTTTTACTCCCGCAACAACATGAACAATCTTTACATATATTTTCCGCCAGAATCTTCCTGTCAGAATTATTGGAAAAACTACGTACTTAATAACTCTCCTAGATTTCTTTTATGAGTGATCTGGAGAGTGGTTTAAATCGAAATATATTTCGAAGTACCAATTTTAACATCGATATTGCCTCCCTCCATCTACTACTTACTGGCCTCATATTACTATTTTGAAAGAAGTCTTCCCAAAATTATTGGAAGTACAATGCGCCAGCACATTTTTCACTTGCCATCAACAATTTGATAAAACAATGAATTGGACAAAATGGATCAATAAATTGATCGCCACGTTTTACGTACTTAACTTTCCTAGATTTATTTTTTGAGTTATCTGGAAAGTTTAATCTACAAAACGTCAATCGAAACTAAAATATGTTTCAAAGGACCTATGTTAACACCAATATTACCTCATTCCATTTTGAAAGAAGCCTAACCAATATTGGAAGAACAATGAAATGGTGCGCCAGCACACTTTTCGCTTGCCATCAGATACTACATCAATGAAAAATTAGGTAGAGTGGCCACCACGTCCTACATTCTTAACTCTCCTAGATTTCTTTCTATAAGTGGTCCGGAGAGTATGGTTTACAAGAAGTCAATCGAAATATGTTATAAAGAACCAATGTGAACATCAATATTACCTCCTTCTATTTAATCAATAGCCTCATTTTCTTGACATTTTTGCCAGAATTATTGGAAAAACAATAATCATATTTTTCACTACATCAACCAACAATTATTTAGTGAAATGATCCATTTTTCTATCTTTGGCAGAGAAACTTAAAAATCACACAATTTAATTGTTAACACTTTTTATTCCAGTACCGAAATAAAAACATTAAGAAACGAATTGACAGAATCAAAGGAAGAAACGATACATTGGGACAATGTGGGAGATAGAGCTCCTTCTAGAAGGCAGATCAAGACAAAAAAACGTATAACCTCTATATAATGAAGGAAAAAACTGCTACTGAAGATCGTACTAAAAGAGATATTGATGTTATAAAATGTATCTTAGACGAAATACGGGCCTTGAAAATCCTAAAGTGACCGATAGTTCTTTGGTGGGAAAAAAGTATGGTATTTATGTTGATTAATGCTTAGAAGAAATTTTAGTTTCATATCTACCTACTATATACATTATCGATCATTGAAAGTCTTCCAATATGCGATCCACAAGTGTGAAAGTTACAGAAAGTTGGCATTGGAGCGAAAGTAAAACTAATGGTATCAGCGGTGCAATTTATACGTTCCGAACGTTGGCCAGACCGTATAAGTTGGTATAGCTGATTTTGTTCCTTTCCCGTTTGCTCTAATACTAGCTCTCTGTAGTTTTCACACAAACACTTGTATCAAGGGGTATCGGAAGATATTCGACAGCTGATAGCGTATACAGGGTTGGGCAAAATTAATTCGATTTGTTCTTCTATAATAAATTGTTTGTTATATGCGCTAATAAATGACGTTTGGAGTTTTTCGTCATCAAGACATGACGTAATCGATGGAAATTTAAAATCAATCACCCTGTATTTATATTGTTTTTCCGATAAATCTTTCTTTCTGAATCCATTAATTTGGGATTTGAGTAGCTCAGACTTTTATTTTATCACAAGAAAATAATAAAACAAAGTTGAACGTTACCGACAGGGACTTATGCATCCCAAACACATATGACATGATAAAAATATCGATTGTGATATGTGCATCCCAAAAACAGACCTCAACGAGAGTAATATTCGATTATTGCAACTCAGCTTTTTCAATTCGCCACTAGTCTTATAAAACTCTAAAACGTCCCAGCTGTATAAATTTTTAATAGCTTTTCCCACCGTTGGCAATTTTTGAATTTTTACTGGTACACATATTTCCCAAGAGGAGCAAAAGTAATTATTATTTATTAAACAAATGTTTATTTTCTATTTTATTGAACTCAAAGAACCCTTTATCAGAAAAAAAAGACCTATCCGGAAAAAATAAAAATACAGGGTGATTCATTTAAAATTTTATCCGATGACGTCATATCTTTATAAATATGACAGATGGTGTAAATCCTCAAACAGTCATTAAATAGTGTATTAATTTTCAATACAATCCATAATTGAATCACAAATTTTTTTACCCTGTAAATGTAAGAGGAATTTATTCATTAACACACGCTGTATTTATTTGTTCTCTATTCTTAATATTTAATAATAATAAAGATAATTCCTTTTAAATTGCAACTGATTTTAATTATATGGATATTTTAATCCCAAACATAGTGGTCGTTCGAGCCGAATTATTTTTAAAGTTCAACGTCTGAGAGTTTTTCTAAACAAAAATTTTGTTAATTTAAATAATAAATGTGGCGTTTGGAAAGTTTTTTCCTATAAACAACTTCTGGAAAATTGAAACTTAATCCAATGACGGAGAGATTAAATCAGTAATTTAATAATCAAATTGTGTTGCACAAAAAATACTAAGGCTTTGGTTTGGAGCATTATTTTACATTTTGTAACTGGCAATTGAATATTGGCCAAATCCCAAAGTAGTAAACGTCAAGAGGAAAACAAGAAAAACTAATAAATATAAGTTAAGTTAGAATACTAGAAGAGAATTTAAAAATAAAATAGAAACAAGTAAAAGAACGTTTACCACTTTGGCATGTAGAAAATATTTTCTTCTTTCTAAAATAATACAAAAAAAGTTACTTTAATAAATTAGGAACCAAGTGCTTATAAATATTAAATTACTAAATTACATAATTATTTCCAATAATAATTAAATGCACGTGCATTTATTATTGGAATATAATTATTCATTATCTACATTTATACAAACAGACATCAGCTGTCGACAATTCTATTTTCACAAATGACAATAATTCTACTTTTATTTCTCAATATACACTGTGTCCCAGAAATAAGTGCCAATATATTACCCATGTATGCGACTTTTATCAAATCGTAGGTCAAATTTTTTATGATTTGAGTTAAAACGACCTGGTAAATCGTTAAAGTTAGATCTACTAAAAGAAAAATTACCAACTTATATTTATATTGCTCAATATGACTCGGTTGTGTTTTTTTTTTTTTGGTAACAACTGATTTGGTAACTCAAATCACATAAAATTTGACTTGGGTCACTTTTTTTAACGTTTTTTTTTTTGTTACCTTTAGCGATTATCAAAATAAATAATGGATCAATCGAAATAATCGATTAATCAAAATAATCGATTAATCGAAATAAATGATTAATTTTTCAGTAAGCCCACGAAATATTATTTAAATTTTCTTTCGGGTTTGTTAGATTTTTTTGTTATCTCTAATGATTATCAAAATAATTAATCGATTGTCGATTAATCAAAATAAGTAATTAGTTTCAATTAATCGAAAATAATCGAATA